TTCGTCAAAAAAATATAATTTTATTAAATTATATATATATATATATATATATATTTATAGAGAGAGAGAGAGACAAAGAGCGAGAAATCGATTTCTCAAAAATCTCTAAACTCGAGCAACATTTTGAGCAAGGAACGACCCTCAATATTTAAATAATCGAACAAATCAACATACATGCATTTGTAAAGGCTTTGATCATCTTTCAAATGCATCAAATCTCATCAAAAAATATTTGGTATTTTTAATTTAATTAAAAATGGCAGAAATTTCATATCTACAAAATTTTCATGACATTGTGCAACAAAAAAATTCATATAAAAAATTTAATCAATCATAAATAGAAACTCCTATTTTATTTGAGAGATTAAACATTGATGATCAAATCCACAACTTAATTTGATAAAAAAATGACTAATAAATTGATAAAGGATAAAAAACAGGTTATTTGAATAGCAGCATTTCCGGCCAAAATCAACACATAAAGTTTGGGTTTTTTAACAAATTGAAACATGAACCTGATAAATAATTCTATTCTATCAAGCCCCCCAAAGTTCTTCAAGAACCATTAGGTATTTAAGAGATTATTGAAAGGTTAGCAGAAATTTTCAAACACCTAAAAAATATGCCATTCCGATCCAATTTTTTTTTTTTTTATATATTTCAATCCAAATTTATTGTTTTATAGATTCTAGATAGTGATTTATAGCAATAAATCATAAAAAAAAATAGCACAAAACGAATAAAAAGAAAGGTGAAATTTTGGATTCGGTCCGGTTGACAGAAAACTCGCCGTTTTGACGAAAAAAATGCCGATTCGGATTCTAACTGACCTGGTTTTGGGCTGGACATTTTTAGGAGGGTGTACCCTAGGCTACTACAAACCCAAAACCGGCCCTAATCGGACTCGAAACCCTAGCGGTTTCGATCTAACCGGCTAGTTTTTCTAACAATGGTTGTGAATCGGTCAAATCAGGTTTGGATCCGAAAAATATCCAAGGGGTCTGGATCTGAATTAAAATCTGTTCAAATCTAGAATACCGAATTCAAAACTTATACATGGGATCCAAATCCAAATCCAGACTTGATCAGATCTAAAAAAAAATTGAATAATATTTTACATCTATAAAATAATATATAACAAAAATACTTAACATATATGTATATATAAAACAATATATAATATAATAGTATTTGGGTCGGATTCAGATCAAATGCACCTAAAACCAAACCCCACCGGAATTATTATTCATTGGATTTAGATCCGACCTGTCAAAATCCAAATCTTGAATCCAACAATAAATACGGATATGATCTAAACTAGAATCAAGTAAAAGTCAAGGCCAGAGGCATTTTAGGAAAATTCATGTGCGCGAGCACTCGCCACCGCTTCCTCTTGGTTTTGTGACAATGAAGTGTCCATACGCCAATGACATCAGCTAAAGTCACGTCCCATGAGTTTATACTTCCACAAAACATGAACAAGCTTGGGATCCATGAGCGTATGCTTCCACAAAAACAGAATGCCATTATTTTTTTATATTCTACCCTTCTAAATTATAGAAAATGTTTTTTTTTTTAAATTCTGTATTACACTTCAAGGTATTTAAATATCCAAAAATATTAACAACTTTTAGGGTATCCACTTATAGCCTAACAAAATCCTTTAATATTACACCACAAACCCCGAAATTACTTTTTTTTATATTTACTCAAGAGGTCGACAAGTTTAAGGCTAAAATGTCATTACCCTCTTTCTTTCTCAATTTTTAAAGTCACTTGTTTTTGGCATCTCCTCTATACCAAACTCTCTACCTAAATTCTCTTTCTACCAAAATAACTTATTTTTTCAAGAAAATGAAACTACGAGACCCTACCATATCTGTGTGAGTAAGACCTTAAAAGATCATCATTAAATTGATACAGATCTGTAGAAAAATTATCACATGGGTGTGACACTGTGTTAAATTTGATGTTGATCGAAAAATTATCTCAAAGATGTGAGACTTGACTTTTTTGTGTCAAATTTAATGATGATCATTTGAGGTTTTACTCGTATAAATATGGAAAGGTCTTAAAAGATCATTACTCTTTTTTCAAACTCTCTCTACAAAAACCTTTTTTTCTCCCTACGAAAACCCACTTTTTCTTTCTACCTCCACCAAAACTCTCACAAAATCCAATCTGTCTCTCTATTGAACCCAATACTGGGTTTGATTATCCGTATAAAAAAAAAAGAAAAGATGGCTTTAGGCTCTGTGAACAGAGGTCAGGACGTTTACCCGAGCGCATGCCGTCCAAGGCTTAAGTCCCCAATAGTACCAAAAAAACATGCAGCTACCATGGAAGGTCAGGCCCGAATGTGAGTTTCGTTGACACTGCTGTGGCCAAGTGCGCAATCGAGCTAGGCCTAACACACATCTTAGAGAGCCACGAGGCAGCCATGACCCTAACCAAGCTTTATGCTGCCTTTCCCCACACCCCCATTCTTCCAAAAATGAGCCCACTCGCTATTGGTTTCAATAGAGAGAGAGAAATGGGTTTTTGTGAGATTTCAGGTAGACAGAGAAAGAGAGGGGGCTGGTAGAGAGAAATAGAGAGATAGAAAGGCGGGTATAGAGAGAGAAAAAGAGATGGTGGGTAGAGAGAATGAGAAAGTGGGTTTTAGAAGCAAGAGTTTGGGTAGAGAGAATGGGTTTTTCAGTAAAGAGCGAGTTTAATGGTTTTTTTTTGGTAGAGATAAATAGTTTGGGCAAATGGGTTTTTTTGGTAGAGAGAAAATGAGGTCCAAGAGTGTTTTGGCATAGACGGAGAGAGGAGATGGGAGAGAGGAAATGCCTAAAGCACTTGACCATAAAATTAGAGCCTCCCTCAAAAATTTCACTAGAAGAGATAGAGTTGGCATAGAGGGAAAGAGGAGATGCCTAAAGCATTTGACCGTAAAATTAGAGTCTGCCTCAAAAATTTTACTAAAAGAGATTGTTTTGATGTCCATATATCCTCAAATTGATCATCTCGACTTCAAAATACATGGACATGAT